ACTTTTCGGTATTCAAACATTTTTTTTTAAAAAAAATAATGATTTAATGAACACAAAACTCAACAAATGAAATTGTTACTATCTATAAAAGCATGCTGTAATGTTTGACTAATGGGTAGACGAACTAAAATCAGAATTCCATAAGAGAAAAGTACATTTTGACGAGAATTTTTTTTTTACGGCACTTCTGTTTTTATATATATATAGATTAAAATTTTGTGAATTCTTGAATATGTGAATCTGATATTTGTGATTTGTAATAAATAATAAATTGGGGAATTTATGATTTGTGATAAATGATAAATTTGTCTTGAAAAATGAAAATTGATGATAGTTAGTATATTTTTTGAAGATTTTTTTAATATTATTTAATTAAATATTAATAAATAATATCGGTATTGCCGATCAACGATTAGTGGCCGTCCTAACTCACCGATATTCCTGAATCCACTACTGATAGAGCAAAAGCAAGATTCTGATAAGTGGGAGTTTAATTTAACTGAAAATTTTTCAAACACAAAATACAATAATATTAAAAAATAAAAAGTCATTAAAAATTTTTCCCTCAAATCTCAGTGGAGGCAAAGATCCCACTGGCCCCCACCTTCCTCCGCCATTGCAAACACATTGATGAAAATTCATTCATTTTTAAAATTGGTCATTCAAATTTTTCCGGGAAACAAATATTTTTCTGGTGACTTTTTAGTCGCGAATCAATAACTTTTATGGCAACTTTCTGAAATACCTCACAGCCATTTGGTTTTCCTTTTGATTTGAGATGTTAATGACTAATAGGAAAATACATTTGAACATAACCAAGGGGCGAAAATGTCAAATAACATCGTTCCCTTCATACAAGAGGAATTTTAGCCCACAACGTTGGTTTGATATTTGGCCCTCGGGGCTTTCCCCGCCAATTCATGCCCCGACTTACATATCTCCCCTTAAATTGATCTTCCTCCTCATAAAAACGGACTATAACGTTCTCATTTTCAAGTTAAAAAAAAGAGGCGCATATGCTTTATTTATAGGGTTAGAAGGCTTGGGTTTTTGTAAATATCTTTTTGCGGCTTATTAGCACAAAACGTCCCTACGTTTGATAGTTAGTGTGCAAAACGTCCCAACGTTTCATTTTTTTGCATTTTTGCCCCTATTTCAACGTTTCAGTGTGGAAAACATCAT